AGTTTCAATACAGTGATTTATAATTTTAGCTATGGAGCATGATATTTCAGGAGCTGCAATCCTTAGAACTCTGGCACCAAGCCCATCGATTCCCGTGGCTTTGTGTGTAGGTATACTTAGAAGATAATCGTTAACCTCACTAGGAGTTATTTGCGGAATAAGATTTTCAATTTGACTGTTAGATTTGTCTGGTGGACCAGGAAGAGCATCATAATGAAGTACAGGTGTCGACTTTATGAGACGTTTATATACATCAACGAAGAAGCGGTTAAAGCGTTCAGCGATTGAATGGTCATCCTTTATCAAGTTGTTGTTTTCGTCAGCAATAGGGACGGAGTCGTCGTTATTCTTTGTATCTTTAGATAGGTCTTTAATTAAAGACCAAAGTTTCTTTGGACATTTTTGATTTTTACTGAACTGAGTTTTAAAGTACTGTTCCTTCGCATTTCTTAGTTTCCTCGTCACTTTGTTTTTAACCAGTTTAAAAGCAGACCAATCTTGCTTATTTTGTGTTCTCCTGGCCCTCTTTAGAAGATTATCGCGTTTATTTATTTCGTTGTATAGATCATTAGTGAACCATTTTGGCTGATTGATTTTCTTCACACTCTTGGACTTTAAAGGTGCGTGATTATCAAGAATGTCATTAAAGATTTTGTACCAAGATTCAACAATGTCATCGGCATCTCGAAAAACAAAGGAGATATCCCAAGGGGCTTCTCTTAGGTCTCGCAAAAAGCACTCTTTGTTGATTTTGTCGATATTTCTGTATTTGATTTTGGAATGTTGTTTACGTTGTGCATCCATGGTTTTGTAGCACCTCAAGATGGTGACCGGAAGGTGATCGGAAAGTCCAGATTTACCTATGGATACTTCTCTAATTCTAGCAGGATGACTAGAATAAATATGGTCTAAGCACGCATCAGAGGCAGGTCTTGTTACCCCATTTACCATCTGCGTTAATCCAAGACTGTTCAGTGCCTTTGCGAGATAATGTTTTGAATAACAGTTGAAATCAATATAATCCAAATTAAAGTCTCCCAGGATAATCAATTCATTGTTTTGGAGATGGGCATTTTCAATATTTTTACCCAAGCTCTCATTATAATCTTTGTTGGCTGAAGGTGGACGGTAAACACCAGATATCAAAATCGGTCTCTTTGATTTATGAGGACAAATTTGAAGCCAGAGAGTTTCAAGATCATCCAGTTCCAAATCTCTTCGACGTAAAGCCATAACTTTCTCATTTACATACGCAAATATGCCGCCACCTTTCTTCCCGATTCGATCTTTTCTGTGTAATGTGTAGCCGGGTATCATGTAATAGCTGTCTGGAATTTTACTTGATCCGAACGTCTCAGTGAGAATTAAGACGTCGAGTTTAGCAGCACTGTTGTTGTTCGAGGTGAGCATTAGCGATAGTTCTTCCAATTTGGTGTCAGTCAGTCGTTGGATGTTCCAGTGGCAGACTGATAAACCTCTGAAGCCTGCAGGTGGTTGAAGATTATTAGGCCCTGGATTGACGGCAATATCGCCAGATAGAAGAATGCACAGACAAAATTGGCCAAGCTTGATGAACCGCAACAACGCGTGAAGCTTCAAATTCAATTCGCAAGGTGTGCATTTCGAAGGCTTTGACTTACAGTTGAACGTAGGTGGAGCAGATATTTCCTTCCCAATGAAGAGTGTAACTGTAGAGCGATCGAATTCAGGTGTAATTGAAGTAAATTGGCCAAGTAAAACGCTGAAAATAGTCAATAGAAGCACGACTGCAAAAATATGTCTGCACGCCATGACTAATTTATGCAAAAAAAAAAAAAAAAAAAAAAAAAAAAATCAACTATCAAGAAGTACAATTGCATCTGCTTTCAAGAGCAGAGTAACAAAGTGATATTCCTTTGTCCTCACAATGAGTGATGGTCTCTCATCTGCCTGGAACAATCCCAGAAGAAGGGAATAAAATTCCTGGAGACTGCTGGGGTCAAGGGAATTAATTGCAGCACCATCCACAAGTGCCCTCAAGGGTAAATCTAGTCTTTGAAATGTACAGTTCTTCCTAATTGATGCCTCCTCCATTGCTAAAATACTGTAGTCACAATCAAGACCCCGCATAGGCTCTAAAGGTACAGAAAATCCACAGCCAACTTCACAAACCTGTTTTAACCAAATGATGTCTGCTGCCAAATCTAGGTCAAACAAATTGAACATAGTAGGTCCTTTCCTGGAACAACCTATTGCATTGTTCATTGCACAAAGTCCACAGAATGAGCTGTACCCTTGAACTTGCATACACTCCTGACTGCCATTGTTGCTACTTAGGCGCACTTGGCTCTGTACATCTTTATTTGCATGCTTGTCAATAATCTTTAAAAAGTACCTCAAGTTACTTCTTTCTGTGGCATTATCTTGAGAAGGATTTATGGCTGCAAGAAAGCCCTTCAAGGGCATTACAAACTTGGCCAGTTCACTGCAATAAGGATCAATTTTCTCTAGATGTTGCTGACACTTGTCCTTCAACTCAGCTGGCTTCCATAGCATTCCTTGATTGCTTCCTGGCATGAACAGCAATGATGTGGATGGCTCACCAAGGGTGACTTCATGGGTTTTCAGACTTCCTTGGGGTGTACTGCATCTGTTGGATCCAACATCAACATTTACATCATTTGTATGGTCAAGCAGATCATCCTTATTGAACACTGGCTCATCAATACCGACTTGGGTGCTGGGTCTTTTGATCCTGTCTTTATCATGGCATGAAGTACTAGCCTCAGTTGTACGGCTACTTAACAGAGGGGTTTCCTTTGGAGCTGTCTGAGATGTTTTCATTATACTATCATCAGATGGTACAATGCAACCATCTATTGTTACACAGAAGAGCCCACAGTTAACAGCCATCTGAAGCACAAGATTCTGGCAGCAGGGATGAAAGCATGGAGTTTCTTTTTGCTCTCCAACGCATCACAAGCAGTCAGAGTGTTCCACGTAACTGGTGAGATGACTTAGAATTGACTTTCCCAGGTTTTGCTTTCTGTCTCTCTCCCAAAAGATTGTACCATAGAGAAAGTACTGAAAACCCGAAGCCTGTAAAGTTTGAAGGCCAGTTACAAACTACTGGTGAAACACAGCTTCTTCTTCCTCTCTGTCAGAAAACGACGATACCATGGCAAGGAGTCCATAATCCAGAACCTGACAATAACTCTTCAATAAATCATCAATACTTCTATGGTGAGCCACTTTCCTCAACCTTAGACTTTGATTATACATCTCCTTATGCACAGTTAGGCCAAACTCTGAAATTAAATTGTGCATATTCAGCAAAGATAACTTGGGGGGTGTTTCACAAAGGGGAAGTTCACACTGCTTTTCCTTGAACAAAACCATCTGGCCACCAAAAATGAATTTAACTACCAATTGCTCTCCACATTCTATCTCCACCTTGAACATTCCTCCAGGACGCACCTCTTTGATGACCCCCAGAACATTCAAGGGCTGAAAGGGATCTGGCTTTGAAAAATGCAATCCTTCTGAACGTGGATTTTGGAAGAGAACTTTGTCTCCCACCTTAAATTCCCGCTCTTTAGCCCTCTTAAGAGCCCGTTTGTGATTCTTTCGAATGGTGTGTTCTGTTGCTTCAAGGACATCCACCATCTTAGATTTGTATTCTTCACTCAAGTTGAAGAGGTATTTCGTGATGCTCTCTACCTGGAATTCTGCCTCTGAATCCACTGATTGAAGTGGGATGTTGTGACTGTGGGAAGGTGGAGAAAGTGAATTTCCTTGCGCTATCTTCTTAACAGCTGCTGACAGCTGCTTAGCTGAAACACCCAATGAGGACAATAATATGGTCTCAGAAGAAATTTGCAGGATGGCCTCTGTTTTCTCTTCCAATTTAGATTTATCCATGGAAGTGCTTTCCCCATGTCTCTCAAGTTCAATGAATCTTCTGATGAAAATTCATAATCTTCAAGGCAACCATCTTCAATACTTTCTGTCCACATACTATCATCTGGGATGATGTAGTCCACCAAGCAGGAAGGCTCACGGTTCTTATATATTCGAAAAGGCACATCATTAATTGTGCTGTGCCACTTGCAATTCAAAAGGTCTGCAATAGCAGAGAGTTGTAAAGGCCAGACATTGGCCCGAAGATCTCTAGGCAACTGTTGTAAAAACCTTGCAAGTAACCTTTTGACTTGCTTGTTGAGATTTTCTATCTGGCCTTGAGACTGTGGGTGGTGTGGCCTACCATGAACCATGCAAACTTCAAATTCTTTGCAAAGTTTTTGCACTACCTCTCCAATGAATTCACCACCATTATCTGACTGAATTACAGTAGGTGACCCTTCCTTGATGAACAAGGCCTTCAGAACGGCATACACTTCTTCTGCAGACTTTGTTTTTAACGGGAACAGCCAACAAAACTTCGAGAAACAGTACTTGACTGTTAGAATGTAACGGTAGCTCCAACAATTATTCTGCATAAAACTACGGTGCTTCTTTGGGGCCATGTCAATAAGGTCACACTGTAGTCTGGAATGGGGGCAAAAAGATCTAATGGGGACAGGAGGGGGAAGCACTCGCATTGGCAAGGGGTTGTTGACCTGACATGTTGAGCATCGAGCCAAGAAGGCCCTAATAAGGTTGAAAATACCCTTAAATACATATTTTTGTTTGAATAGCCTACTCAAGGCATTCACCCCTCCAGGGAGGCAAGTATCCTCTCCAAGGACACCTTTAATGTAGTGTAAACTGCCTAATACACCATCTACAGCCTCTCTGTAGAGAAGTTGCTTTGTAGTCTTAAGCTCTCCTTGAACATAACTGTTTACCAAAACAACAAGGATGCCATTTTTGTCACGGACAATCTTACCTTCTTGGTCAAGTTTTAGTGTGTAGACTGGTCTTTTCAGGCTACGTCGTTCAAAAAATCGTCTTTTATACTGATTAAAGAAAGCATTTAAGTTTTCATTCTTCTCTGAAGAAATACCATCTTTTGGGAAAGATGTATATCCTGGAGTACAATACAAAACTGTATCTGCCAGTTTTTCATAAAAATATTTCTGGCATCCATTGAAGCTACAATCTGCTAAATAAAATATAGTATTTGTGAATAAGTAATAGTTATAGAAGATTGCTACCTTTAACATACATTTATTGATTAACCCTTTACAACCTAACATCAGTATGCATATTCTCCATACTGTTCTCTATACATTTCCTGAAGCCCTGACAAAGAGAGTTTTTATAAAAATCAAGAGCTTTATAAATTGTTGGTCATTTCCTTTATTCTCATGAATTCAATGTTTGATTCAGGGGAGATATTGTAAGGAGAAATTAGATGCTGGTCACTTTTAGGGGTTAAACGGTTAAGATTTTTTCTTCCATAACGGGTAAAACAGATCCTATTTAATGGTTCAGAGATGACCTTTCTACAAGTAACTGGAATTGAGGCAATGGAAGATATTACTGCATGCTCAGTATATTGTTGCACAAAAGTATTTAAAAGTTTCCTGTTTCTGAATTTCAGTAGTGGATAACTGTTGTATTCCAGCACTGTTGTTTTCCAGCCCCTCTCAGCTGTTCTCAGTTTCTCAGCAGGAGTTAACTATTGTATTCCAGCACTGTTAATTTCCAGCCCCACACAGCTGTTCTCAGTTTATCAGCAGGATTTACTGTTGTATTCCAGCACTGTTAATTTCCAGCTCCACACAGCTGTTCTGAGATTACTAGCAAGGAATAAATATTCTTTTCCAGTACTTACTTGTATTTTCAGTTTCATACTATTCTTCCCACATTTCTTAATAAATGAACCTATATTTAGTGGACACTTCTATATCACAGACACTGGAGAAGGTTCTCAGACAAGTTACCTTTGATACTTTTATAACTATAAAAGTAATAGCTTTCACTGCAGTTTAAAGTGATTTAATTTTTGAAATACAGTTAACTTCTCCACCAACCCCACAACACCTGTGCAAAGCATGTCAATTACAAATAACAAATACGGAGAGTTGCAAATTACTTTCAATACTTTATAGTGCAAGCAATGTATTCCTTACCGTCATTTTTCAGTGTTTTCTTTCCATTTACAGACTCAAGTGGCTGTAATGGAAAAAACAAATTCAAACAATTTTACCTCACTTCTTAAAGCAAGAAGTCACAAGACTAAACAACAAGTGTAGAAACTTAGACATACTTAGGCTAAAACTCTGATTCAAAAATAAAAAAATGACCCCCCTGCAAAAAAAAAATTGTACCACTGTCTTTGATACCATCCTGTCACTCTCCTATTTTTTTTTTCACTTTTCTTTACTTCTAATTTGTAAACGCATATAATGCTTCTTCTCAATGGGAAGTGTCTTCAAGAAAACCCAACTAACGAAACAGTATTGGCAAGAAAGATAGCCAAATGAACTGTAGTATCGAATTAGAGCTTGGAGCAATTAAACGACATGAATGGCTGCTACACCCCATTATTTTTTCCCAGGTCTACATGAACTAGATTTTGAGCACAGAATGCAATACCTCACCAAACATCTGCTATGATGACTCACTTAAAAGTGTGCATGATTATCACCTCTTGCTGAGATAGCACACTTCACTTCAATGTTTTTATTACTACACATATGGGGGCTTTGGTAAGATTGTGGAAAGGAGGGACAACGTTTGAGCAGCTGGGAGGGACTAAAATGACAGTGTGACAGCAATTTAATCCCACTTGGATGGCAAAGTCTGGGGAACCTTCCCCTGGAAATTTAAAAGTTCAGATGTCCAAAAGGGTCCATTTTAGGCCACTATTTCCCAAGTTGGCTAAAAATTAAAGCTGCTACGAGGGTGAGTATTGACACTGAATTAATGAATAGAGTACCTTTTATGTAACTAACTATATAAACATTATACATAGCAATGTTGTCTCTGTGATGATGTCGGTGTGGTCTTGTTTGATTTTTACTTTTGCCTTGCTCAAAAAATGAGATTGTGCTGAGGACGACATTAGATTTTGGGGTACATTGCTGTGATTTCTAACACAGTATCTTTAATGCAATTACTGATGGCAAAGGAGTTAATTAGTACTTCAATGATAAATGTAGAGCATGGCAATTAATGAAACGATCAATGTCTAATCATGAATTAGCTCTTTGTCAGTGACAAGTTCACAAAATTAATATTTGTGAAGGTTACTTCATACAACAATTACTGTAAACCACCATACCAAAAAACATGGTGACTGGTACATTCAACCAGAACTCTTTGTGCAAGAAAATACTGGAACCACTCATAAAAACAGGCAGTAAAGGTCTGAAAAATTTAAACCTTGCATACATAATGTTGTTGTTTTGTGAAATATTGCTTTCTACGAGTGCCTTAGCTTAAGAGTAATAGTAAAATGCACAGGTGCCATATTTGTCTGTGAGTGGATTGAATCTATTGGGTGAACACCAGAAAAAATAGTAATATTGATACAAATAGGCTGAGGGTTTAGTATAGGTATGCTGTGGTTTAGTATAGGTATGCTGTGGTTTAGTATAGGTATGCTGTGGTTTAGTATAGGTATGCTGTGAGGCCAAATTGATAGTGACACATCATCTCATCATAACTTAGGCTAGGAGCTAAATTTTATCTTTCTTTACACAAAATGCATTTTTCATTCATATCATTAACAAAACCAAAGGAAAATGATGTTTATACCAAGGACAAAAATTAAGCACAACATATACCTTTTTATAACTAGTGCATAATTCGCCAAGAAAATGTTTAGAATAGAGCTTACCACCTCATCAGCACTTTTGTTTTCTTTGCTTTGCTGCTGGTTCTCATCCATGCCTGTATGAATGATATTTAGTAAGGGTGAAAGGATTGGTATTTTCTTAGCAAAGATAGTTGCAGAGAGTTTCTCCACTAATATACAGATCGCCAAATGCTCACAATGAATGCCAACAAGACCAAGTTCTTGCTAACACATGTAGGAGCAATAATTGCCAATAGTGGGCAATAGTCTGTATTGAATTAAGTATTCATTTCTGCATGAATTAGTGTTTATTTCATTTTAATGTTTGTGACACATAGTTGAAAAAGTATGGATAATGTGGTAACATATAACATACATATTATTATCATATTCCTTATAATTTGGTACAAGGGACTTTACTCTGAATTGATCAAAATAAAGAAAGTGGCATATGTCAGCCACTGATTTAAATAGAAAAGCACTAATTATTAAGTGAAGAGTAATTTTGCTGCAATTCTGTCCCTTCTGGGTGAGCAAAGAGAATGATTTAATACATTGTAACCCAACTGTTACTTGTTGGAGAGCATTGGGAGACAGCACTCTATCCTTTATGAAAGAGACCAGATCTTCATCATACGAGTTGGCAGTTTGTGAGTTAACCTCCCAGGATATGTGATATTTGACATCAACCATACTAGAGGTTGAATTTTTGCGTAGTCCCATACATTTACAATGAATACATGTCTTCCACTGTATCCACAATAGCCATCATTGTAGGCACAATGAGATGGAGAAAATCACACATTTTTGGGCATTGAAACACCGAGATCTGCCCTGTTTTTCAATTATGTAACATTTAGTTTTACATGTCCCACGCAAAATAAAAAGTCAGCCCTCGACACTGAAGGATTCAATGAATCCAAGTTAGTAGTTACTCGCACGCTTCGCCATGCTGTCACATGAAATCTACAGTATTAAGCCCAAAACTTGAACGTGATCTTTGAAGAATGGTTGTAATATTTAAATTTAACAAAATACTAGCATGAAATGCAACCGAAACCTTACCTTCCTTTACTAGTTCCGACAAAAAAAGCACAACTTCGATCACCAGCGCACTCCAAACCAATAAGGGAAGCTACGAGGCAATGTCAAATTCTCGTCTTCCTAACCTTTCCAACGTATCGAAGAAAATTTCACTGATACTTCGCGCTTAAAAACGCAACAAGAATATTAATCTTTCAACAATCCGAAGTGTCCCAAAAGGCATCAAGGATAAGCCCATGAAACAAGAATAGCCCATGAAATTCTCAAACTTCGAGCGCGGAAAACTTAACGATAGTCTCACAATTTTGCATTGCATCCTTCCCCTAGTTGGGAAGTGACACGCAGAAGACACGTTCACAACGCACTTTGATTGGAAGAAATAAAACCGCATTCTATTGGTCATTAGGTGTGAGGACATAACTACAACGGAAGACACAACTGCAACGCTACAGTCATCTCTATGTGCTACTAATGTTCTGCTGCTTTCCTCATTGCAGTCTACAGTAAGAAATTTTTCTGCATAGTCTCTTCTGACTTTGTCATATACCGTTTCAGAGCCTCCTCCGCGCACTCGGCGGTGTTCGCCAACATCAAGATGATTCTCAAGCTCACTAAATTTCTTAAAGACCATGTGACACCCAGGCTCGGAGCAGGAGAAAAGACCGCTAGTTTGTTCACCATCACCCTCGGGTAAGGAAGACACGTGAATTCGAGCCTCATTAACTGGAAAAAAGTCCACATCATCACAAGGTCTGTAGAACCCTGGGGCTTGACGATGATGTCTTCGTAAGGAATTAGCCTTCCTTGTCCTACACCATACGCTCTCCACACCCTAACTCCGTTTAAATCAAATTTAAAGTTATGATACCTGCTGAAGCCATCCATCCTGTTAACCGCAAGTGTCAAATGAAGCTCGTTCACGGAGCAAACGCAGGCAGTTGTGCCTCTAACAGGAGGTTCGGAAAGTGCTGTACGCATGTCCTTTGCAGAAATAACATCGTGTCCCTCATTACAATATCGTCGGATAGCTGATTTCATTGGGCAAAGGATCCTATCACAGACATCTTTCCCGTATTGTGGCTCGGAAAAGTCATACAGCGTGACAGTGATGCCAACTCTTTCCCCAACGTCTCTTACGGCTGCCATGAGAGAGTTGTTATGGTAACAACCCGCTTCGTCACTCCTAAGGCTCACTCGGGAAATGTGGGGTTGTTCCTTTTTCAAAGCCTCCAGTGTGTTTTGAATGATTGAGCAGACTGCATACCAGTCCTGCTGGCAGGAATCAAGGATGTGAGCGTATGATTTCAGCTCGACCTTACCAGTGCTGAAATTCTTAGTTATGACGGTGGATATATGCCAGCTGAGCCCTCGTTTCCCGAACCAATCGGACTGCTTCTCACGATATTTCATTTGAAGAAACTTCATGGCCCAGTCCCATTATAATTACCGCTGATGTCGCGTCGACTGACTTCTTAGAATCTTGTTTAGCCTGTTCCTCGTTTACCGAGCGAATAATGTGCGCTTTCCATTGCAAGATGTCTGCTTTTGCGCGGTCAAAGTCATCATCAACGCACCACTGCTTCTTCATTCCTCCTTTCTCAAGTGCTTCAATAAGCATTTCAAGGGTCTGAAATCCCGCTGCTCCATCAGAAGCAGTGTTGTCCAAGCCCTGAAGGGATTTGCGCTGAGACGCCGCTCGAACCTCCAAGATTTTGAACATTGTTGACCTACTTAGTGGCTCGTAACATTGTTCTTTGCAGTACTCCAAGTATTGCTCAATCATTGTTGATCTGGTCACAATTCTGACAACGTTTGGCATCTCCATTCTGTTGCCACTGTCTAAGACGAGAATCTTAGTGCCATAAGAAACGTCCTGATAAAAGTAAGGTCTGTTCACGAATTGTAGAAAGTGATCGACTTTCCCCATATCGATCCGTACGCGATGCTTTGTCTTCACTTCAGGGGGAGTACCAGGCCCGTGCAGTTTAGCATGGGAACGTGCCTGCTTTATTTCCCAGGAAGATAGTTTTCCGTATGATTCATGGATATTCTTTAAGGTGCTAATATCTATAAGCGTAAAGGCTAAGTATCTGTTTCTTTAAATTCCTGGTCTTTGCGTTTTTATAAGCAGTCATGAGTACCACTAGATCATCGGAAGCCGGACCTTCACACTTTTCTCTTTGTGCAGAAACCATTGACTCGAACAGCTCCTTCCCTCTTCCAGGGAAGGGGGGACGGGGGAGAGTGGAGTAGAAATATTCCTTATTTAGCTTTAACGCAGACTTTACATACACACCTTTGTAGGGGGTCCTTTTCTTTAGGTTCCTCGGGGTATAGCCAGTCTTTCTTTTCGGCTACTTCTTTGTTATGTTTTTTCCTGCGTGTTGTGCAGATGGCTATTAAGAAAAGACAAATGTTAGATAGTCCTAAAAAGTTGCAGCGTCTCCTGGCAAAACTTTTCACTGGAATCTTAAATTATTTTCCCTTTTTTGTGAAGACAACATGATTATTGTCCACACCCTGTGCACTCACCGAAAACGAACTAGTAAGAAAACTCTAAATTATTTCTTAGAAAACTGAATACACAAATGTTGTACCAAAAAATTGAGCACGTTTTATGCTCATGTTCTCAAAAGCAAAATATTAGATTTTGGCGGGAGTCCAGTGAGCCAAAAGGACGTGCCAAGGAAGTCTTTCGAGAGAAATGTAGTTTTAGAAAGAAACTTAGGGGGTTATTACATGAGGAATTTCAGCCATGGGCTGAAATTCCAGCCCGCTCTCCAGGGTGAAATTTTGTTGCGATTACATGGCGAGTTTCAGCCCGGGTTTAAGCACAATTTTTCCATTGCCGCCATTTTGTTTCGTTGAATATTCCGTCAATGCGCCTGCTCAAACTCACGTTTCAACCCAGGCTTAAATTTTACTGCGATTACATGAGGTTTTTCAGCCTTCCAGCCTGGGCTGAAAATCCTAGCCCGCTTTTTGAAACGGGGCTAGGATTTCCAGCCCGGGCTGAATGTCAGCCCAAGCAGAAACCTTCTCTATGTAATTGTTACTTTTATTTCAAGAGGATTTCTTTCAGAACCCGGGATGAAATCTCAACCCGGCTAACCGGGATGAAATCTCAACCCGGCTAACCGGGCTGAAATCTCAGCCCGGGCTGAAATTCGCCATGTAATCACCCCCTTAAAAAGAGAAAATAACGCGTGGCAAATTCCGACAATTTCGTGAGTTCATAAGGCCATTTGTAGTCAGCAGTATGTAATTAATTTTAAGGAATTTGCCCGGCGATCACACTTGTCAAATGAAAGCCACTTTTACTTGTTACGTATAGTGGTGTGACAAAAACGTTGTACTCACTGGTAGATTACTGCTCCGGTTTTTTCATTTAAGTCTCTTTTCATAAACTGGCTTTGGTCACAACTAATTTTTTTCTTTCATGTGACGCACGCTTGATCGTGTAGTAAAAGTTGTCATACGCACGCCCACAAAAAGCAGACTTTATGTAAGAAATAGCTTTATCATTAAACACATATTCTCAGCCCTGTAACTTTACATGTAGACTCCTGGAATTATGAATGTAACACTTACGCGATCCAACGAGTGTTGCATCGCCAAATATGTTTTTAATTTCCCTGGCCAGCTTGAAATTAATGACATGTGTTCCTGTGACGGCCGTTTTCTTTCCTTGATGTCTTGGATACTGACAGGTCTTGGGAGCTTGCCAGTACTTTCCTAAGCTAAACCGATGAGCTGGACAAACTGTCATGTTCTTTATCTGTTCTTCTGAGAGTTCTAACAAACCTGCTCGTGCCAGTATCAGATTCCTTTCACGTACATTTTCTCTCGACAGGTGGTGATTTGCTAGATGCAAACCGATATCGCCGTCACAGCTATTTAGCGCTATACATT